AAATAATTATCTTAAATAATTTTAAAAATCTGTGACCAAGACAATCATGTAGTTCTTTTAGTATTCAGTGACTAGATAAAGTTTTTCTTTTGTGAGAAACTATGTGCTTCTAATTATATGAATATAAAAATTAGAAAATTCACTCTTTTTCTTTTGATTTGGCTTTCAGCAAGCTCAGGGCTGAACTAAGGCCCCATTCTCAATATATACTTTCCTCTTCATATTTAAGTATATTCTCCTCATCTTTTCATGGCCCTTTAATTCATGGTTACTTATATTTTATATCAATAAATCTAAACTCTATAGTAAAAAGCAGAGGGTTCATTAATTTTAACAAAAATATTATTCCAAACCATTTATTATACCCACTATATGCCACTCATTATTCCAGAGGATGAGGATACCATTAGTTAAAAGATCATTTTCATGACAGAAGAGAATGTGTTTTTCTATATCCTTAAAAGAGGGGAAAAATCTGCCAATCAAACAATTTCAAGAATATGGACATTTAAGGCTTTCCTTAAAAGAAAACCCTGCCAACATAAATTTAATCCTCATGAAGAGTTCAGTTAATACAGTGTGTTGATATCTTCTGGCTGCTATTTACTGGAATATGGAAAAATTTACTTGCTACACAACCTCCTTTTCAGGGTCCTACAATAAAACAGTCTTCATCCTTGAACATGTGCTAAGCACTAATAATAGCACTAATAACACCATGAAATAAAAGCTTTTAAATAAATTTTCCCTTAATAGCAGAGATCAATTTAAACATTGTAACTTCCAGGAAAAGAGTATTTGGGATCTTAGACATCTTTTCTCAGAATATTGGATATAACAAAAAAAATAGCTCCTAATAGGGAAGAAATAATGCAGGAGTGTAGCTGACTTAGACATGAATATTGTTAAAACAGGTAAATCAGCTCCTTAGAGATGACCAACCTTGAAAATTTGGTGGGCCAAAATTTATCCTTGGTTTTGAGCTTTGTTTTGCTTTACTGGCTTGCAAATTTGTGTCCCACAGTGACCCTAGACTAGCCTGCCTCCTGCCAGCATGATGTTAGGAAAGGTATTGAAATTCACAAGGATCTTACCCTTAGCTTCCACTTCCCTGGCTCAGCATTCTCACTCATTTTAAGGCGTTGCCAGCTCAGCATAGCCATGTATTCAAGGAAGACCTCCCAGCCAGGCCGCCCACAGATACACTTGTGCTTATCACCTGCCCCAGCAATTGCAAATAGACTAGCACTTGTCAGAGGAACCTGTTTATCCTCCCTATGTGGGAGAGAGCCCTGTAAATTATTACATTTCAAAAGGTGTAAAATATTGGACTTCTGTGCTTGAACTATGTGCATTTATGTTGTAGAAAGCTCTCTAAATAATAGAACTGCCCTGACTTCACTTCTCTCAAAACTACCTTCAAACATTTTTAAAGTGATATGCCTTTGATGGCTTTCTGAGCCAAATGCTGGGATACATGACATTTTATAAATAATTTTAAATAGTCTCAAGGATTCAGAAAAGCCTCAAATAACAAAGTGTGAACACGGATCTTAAAAAAAATCAGAGGGCTTTATGAAGAGAAAAGCAGACCAAAAATAATAAAAAGAGAACCTAATTCATTCCCAAAATGCCAGAAGAGAATTTTTAGAATTACAGTAAAGCAATCACTTCCTTAGTTTGTACAACAAAACACAAACTTTGTGGGACAAGATAAGACTTGGTCAGATTGTCAAATGTATCAATATAGATGCGAAAACCAACTTCATAATAAATGAGTAGGGGTAAAGTCCTCCGAGAGGAATATCCAAACCATTGAATTGGATATCTTCTGATCAAATTTCACTGGACATACCATTCTCAGGCCACTAAGACAGTTGAATCACATAAGCACAAAACACGGGCAAAGGACCAATTTCGCGAAGGCGACAGTATCCCTTCCTACACTCACTTTAGATCTGTCGTCCTGGCCTTTCATTCTCAAGAGCATTTTATTTCTAGGACAGTCCTCCCCCCATCACTTCCACCTTATCCATCAGTCTAATTATCTCGTTATTCAAATCTTTCAAAAAGAAAGAGAGTAACTGCAGGTTACTTTCTCTACTCGCGGGCATCTTTTTTTTTTTTTCTAGTTTTAGTAAGCCTTCAACTAACTTTCCCTGAACAGGATRTCACCGAAGGGCAATGAAGCTTAAAATCCCGCCATTCTCTCATTTTCTCTCTCTTTTCTTTCTGCCTACGCCACCCAAAACTCCTTACTCCACCCCCTACCTCCAATCCGCGATTTTTTTTAAGCATGCTGGAGGCTGGGGTCTTTAAGAGAACTTCCTCTGTTTCTCCCTCTAACCCAAGACTAGAGGGACAGAAGAAGGACAAGGCACCTAAGGGGACAGGCAAATGAGTTATTTGAGCGGAATAAAAGATCTAATGGAAAAGTCGCCCTAATTCTGTGTTAAGTATTTTTAAAATAAATGAGTGTACCCTTTCCATAGAGTTCAAAATGTTGCCTTTTGCTCTAAGCATTCTTCTTTACCAGATACAACGCCTACTATATACTGTTCTAAACATTTTAAAAATATGACCTTCTTTGCTTTTATTTATACACACACACACACACACACACACACACACACACACACTAAATCCGTGTGTGCTTTCTTCCCTGCTGTGTTTTTCTTTATGACACGGTACAGCGGGTAAGTCTTCAAAGACAAATATGGAAAAACTTTAACCAGTTGCTACTTTATTGCAAGCAAACCATTTCCTTCTGCAATTTTTCGCAATCATTATAATTAAATACCCTAGTTGGGGGGGGGACTTGGGTTTTTTTTTTTTCCAATTATGATTTTAGGTTTTCCCTCAGGCGTTTGGAAGCGCCCGCTAATTTGCTCGCGTGGCAAACGTTAATTGCACTTGTAGGCATTCTGAAAAACGTGCAGCCCTCACCCAGAGTTGTGAAGGCTGAGCTCGCGAAGACCAGCCGCCAAATGTTCACCTGTGGCTGGGGCGCACTGACCACTCGCGCGCTCAGTCTGGGGAGCTGGGGCCGGGAACCTGTGTGCACTGGGCTCACCCTCAAAAGGATTGCGGGGACCTGGAGCGGGGGTGGCGTCGGGGTGCTGGCCTACTCTGTTCTGAGCAACCACTCTCAAGCAGCCTGCGCTACCKCGGACAGAGGCTCGAAGTCCCACGCAGGCTGGGCGCACGCTTGAGGTTGGTAGCCGAGATGGAGAGTGACTGCCACCCAGGGACCCGGGGCCAGGCACTGACCCGGGTCTAGCCCTACCAGGCCCCACCCGCTCCACGCCGATTGTGTGACTAGCCGGGGTTACGTTTCAGAAGGCAGAATGGGACGTTTCGGATTTCTGTTCACACGGTTATTGAAGGCACCGCTGCCGGGACCGCACAAAAGAAACCGAGGCAAGTGGGGAAGGAGTTTTATGTTTTAATCGGAGTTTAACACCCACACTTCGGGTCCTCTGCGTTGATCCTGCTCCTTCCTGCAGTCCCTGAGAGCAATTCTTGCCCGGGTTCAGTCTTTTCCTGTCCACATCTTTTCCTCTACTCCTTCCTGACCCTACAGGTCTTGTATTAGGAGAGAATGGACTGTTAAAGAGATGCCCTAGGCGGAGCCCCAGAAAAATACAAACCCATTAGTGSCGCAGGCACGTGGTGAGTGCAAATTGCCCTTTCTCAAACGCTTTTTTTTTTTTAAACCACCAAGCACAGAACTGTCCCGACGCTAAGCGTGGAGTCTCGGGCTGGACCCCAAACCACACGCCGCCCTCCTCCTGGTACCTAAGCGCCACGGAGGGTGAGCGGACCCCGGTGTCCCAAGTTCGGTCCCTCACTTTCTGCCCTCGCGGAGATACTTTGGCGTAGCCGGTCCAAAAATTCCACTAAAGGCAGAAATAGTAGTTTAAAAACATAATTTGAAAGAAGAGGTGGAGTCCTAAACAACCCACGTTGCCCGTGCACCAAGAACTATTGGACATGAACCGGGAATTTAGAAAAGAAATTGAATTTCCAAGCACGAATCTTCACTTCTTGAATCTAATTAATTCGGCGGCTGCGATTGCACACGCCAGGGAGATTGAGGAAGAAGTTATGCACTTATTTGGATTACCCAAGCCCAAGAAACTCGAATTGGAAATCCTAAAGTGTGTCCTGAGATCCCCTCTTCATTACTCGAGTCCTTCCAACCATCTGAGTAGACAAAACTCCAGCCCAGGGCTGGAGGTCTGCTAAACAGTCCTTGTGGCCGAAGACAACATGGAAATAACTGAGGGATAGCAAATCGGACATCAGTCGGGCCCTCTCAAACCCTCCGACTGCCAGCGGTTAAGTACCTGGTCGGGGAAACTTGCGTCTTTATCTGTCCACAGCTCAGAGGCCGCGGAAGTGGCCTCAGGAGTTGTCAGAGAGAAAAGCAACATTGATTTAAGGTTTTCAAAAACCCCACAGGGCAAATGTGACCGCTGGGGTCAGCCAGTCAGCAGTTTTGGTCCAGACAAGGGACAGCCGAGCGGGGCGGTTCGGTTAAGTCACGGCGCCTCCCGACGTCACACACGCTTGTTCACACTCAGCCACGCGCTCGGGGTTATTCTTTAAACACAGAACTAAGACTCCCTGGGCGAGACCGCCGGGAGCTGAGGAGGGTCGAAACCCCAGATCCGGAGCCCGCCCCTCGCCGGCTCGCCTCCGCCTCCGCCGCGCTGGCGTCTGAGACCGCGCGCTCACTAGCTGGAATTAAGCAGCCCGCGCTTACGCTCTCCGCGGTCTCTCCCAGGCCGCACGCAGCTCAGGGTCCCAGGTGCGCGGCGGCCGCATTCCCACGCCTTTGCCAGAGCATTGAGGCGGGCATTGGCGAACGCGGCCACGCCCTCCTACCCCAGCCAATAGCGGGCCAYGCCGGCCCCCGAGGAGGCGGTGCCCGGCAGGCGGAGGGGTGGGCCAGCCTGGGGTGGGAGAGGTGACCCCGCCCGCGCGGGGGGGCGTGGCCGGCGCCGGCTCTTGCTGCGGAGAAGGGTTGCGGCGTGGGAAAGAGCCGCGAGGAGCCGACCGCGCCGCCGCTGAAGCCTCGCCTGCAGAAGTCCCGGGAGGGAGAGAGGAAGGAGGCAGGCGGGGAGGGTGTTGCACCCCGCTCAGCGTCGGTGATTCCGGCAGGGCTGCGCCCGGAACGATCTTTGCCGAGATGAAGCGCCCTTGCGAGGAGACGACCTCCGAGAGCGACATGGACGAGACCATCGACGTGGGGAGCGAGAACAATTACTCCGGGTGAGCGCGCGCTGGGCGCGAGCTGCCAGGGCCAAAGGGTGTCAGGGAGCTTTGGGCACGAGGGTTTCTTGGAAGTCCCGAGGCTTCTGTCTGCAGCGTCCTGCTAGAGAGAATAAAGTTTTGCCGGAGAAACTTTAAGTGGTGGGCGCTGGTTTAGCTTAAGTTGGGGTGGGGCGAGAGTTGTGGGTTTTCTCTCCAGGGGTGGGGCAGAGGACTGGAGACGCGACTGAACCGGAGAGTGCAGGCGTTGGCGAGGGAGGGTCCCWGGCTGTCAGCTTTGGGCGCGGGGATAGGCACGTCCGGGCTACTGGAGATGCCCCCGCCGCCGCTGAAGCAGTATTTGGAGGCAGTTCCAAAATAGCTCAGGAGAAGAGAAGTAATTTACCTTTTTATTTTTGGAGAGTTTGGGTTTCGGAGCAATTAAAACAATCTACGATGTCAAGCCTAAGTAGCTTGAATTGTGCAGGTTAACCGCGAGTGATTTGTCTATCAGGCGAGTGAGTGACAGATGTAAGGTTCGAATCTGGCATTTCTTTGACTGATAGTTCTTAAGCCTGGAAAAGATCGGCATTCTGATCACAGAAGCCAGACCTCTACTTTCCTGTGACAGAGGGAGATTACCAAGGCATTTTAGAGCCAAGGCGGGTCAAATGATAATTGCTTCTAATTGGCATCCCCAGAAGCACCTTAATTATTTATCTGCAGCTGTCACTCAAAGAGTGAAATTATTCCTGCCTTTGGAAAACTTTTTTTTTTTTCACATTCTTATTCTAAACAAATCAGAGTCAGGAATCAGCAAAAGCAACCATACTTACATGAAACGTTTACAAAGTGTCTTCTTATTAAAGTGTTGTGTCATCTTTAAAAATGAGGTCTGAAAAAACGGAAGAYGTCACGTGAAAGGTGAAACCAGTAGAGAAGGAGTGAGAATGAAGGGGTTAGTTAATTCAGAAATAAGATCCAGAAGTGAGAAGGTGAGGTAATAGGAACCTGGTGTGTGCAGTATTTCTGAAATGAAAGAGAACAAATAACAGGACCTGGGGAATTCGAGCCATAAGGAAGCATAGTATTCATGAATTATGAAGAGAAAGAGATACAAACTAGAAAGGAGTGTAAAAGTTATGAGACCAAATAATAATTTTAATTTTTAACATAAAAATGCCTTTTCATTAGTAAACTCAAGGTGGATTGCAGCTTCTGGAGATTTAAGCTTAGTTTGAAAGCTGAGTGACACCTATGGTTTCGTTTTCAAAGTAAAGCCTTTACCTAGTACTAAGCCTAACTTTAATTTCGCTGTCATTATATATGTAATTTAGGTTATTCTTTGGGAATGTTAATGTGCAGAACATCAAATTTGTGGTTYCCCCCCCCCCCCGTKTAAGATACTCCTAATTGAAGTTTTGAAATAGTAATAACTTCTCTACATTTTAAAGTTTGCATCTAGGGGCAACAGTTTGATGTGTGATGACTATTTGATAGTGCTGTTTCATATGATCCTTATTTTTGAAAGTGATATTACTTTGTTCAGTGTGTCTGACAGGAGGGAGGACCAATAGAATTGGCATCTGGATTACCAATTAAATATATTTCAAAGGCATAATTCCTGCCTGAAAAGACACAGAAGGGCCCAAAGCAAGGCTATTAGAAGGGAAGTAAAAACTAAGAATAAAATAACACAGGCATGAATTGTACACTTTGAATATTTAATGAGTGCCACAAAGTACCYAGTAGAAACCATTGTTATGTTAATGCAGCACCTGACATACTCTTCCTATTTCATAGGCAAAGTACTAGTTCTGTGATTAGATCAAATTCTCCAACAACAACATCTCAAATTATGGCAAGAAAGAAAAGGAGAGGGGTATGTGATTTTTTTYCTTTTTATTTCATGTAATCCATCCTAATATGTAACAGTTGTGTTTTTCCATTATGCGTAATTTTATCATTTATGTATTCATAAACTTCTGTTATTTTGCTTTCTTTGAGATAGATTATAGAGAAAAGGCGCCGGGATCGGATAAATAACAGTTTATCTGAGTTGAGACGACTGGTGCCAACTGCTTTTGAAAAACAAGTAAGCTACCCCCCTCACCCCCAAAACCCAAAGAATCTGATTCTCTCATCTGGGAATGTGAGTTTCTTGTTAAAGCTCATTAAAATAATGGTGTATGTGCCCTGATCTGGCACAGAGCAGCTATTTCAATAAAATGCTTTGTTGTGGCAAAACTATTAAAAACATAATCCATCATGAAGTTGAAAAACATTTCCATTCTTTAGCTTATTTTCCCCTTTAGGGTAACAGTGTTCATGCTTTCTTCTGTTCTTTCTATGAACACCAGTAGTGGTTTTGTTTAAAACTGTGCTGTATRTAATATTCTTCAAAACATATATGTGAAATATCATTTTTTCTCAAACTACTAAAAAAATCTTTTAAATTAAAAAAATAAATAAAGCCCAGGAAGTAACTTTCTAGTTCTACTTCCTAAATAATACTACTAATACAATTTATTTACCAAGCCTCTTGCTTTCATTTTTAATCGCTGGGTTAATAGAATGATGTTTGATTTGGGGCACATTTTGGAAAGTTGGCAAAAATCAAATTAGTCATAAATGCCTCTTTTCAGGGTTCAAATATTCTTTTACAAAAACCAATTTTACTCAGTTAGAAAAACAGAAAGCCAAATGTTTAAATCTTTCTTTGTGGTTTAGAAAAGTGACGTTTCTCTGGCTGTAGTGGCTAATGGCACGGATTTCTAAGAGCATCTTTCAAAGGATGTGGCATATGTCCTTGTTGAAAATATTTTCAATTGAATTCCAAGTAGGGTACCAGAAAGCAGTTGTTTGTTTATTCCATTTTTTGTTTGTTTGTTTACTTCATGAATCCACAAACATTCTAAAACAAGGCCAGCAAAGTCCTTGGAGATTTTCCAGAAACTACAGTTTTTAGCTATTGGTCACTTTCACAGAAACTCCTTGTAYATCTTCATGGAAAAATTGAACACTGACAGAAGTACAGGATATGATGTGCTATTGATTATGGATCTTTAAGAGAAAGACACCCAATTTATATGCTGAGACTGTTTTTGTTTTAAATACAAAAATTATATGTTGGATTAGTAGCATTTTCAATGACAAGGGCTGCAAATTAAAATGTCAATAATAAATGTTTTTAAAATTTTGAATATTGAAATGTCTATGGTTATGAGGAACAGTCAGTTTGGTGTGCTCCTCCACTCCCTTGATTGGTTGGATTTTTTTTTTTTTTCTCCTTAAATGTTGACTTAAAACAAACCTTAAGAACAAACCTCAGTTGTTTGGCAGCTAGTTACCATAAACATAAGCTTTCCCATTAGCAGGGTTTGGCTACCAACCCTAGAGAGCTGGCCCTGTCACAATATGATTAGAAGAGTGTTTAAACTTTAGAGTTAAATAATTCTAACACTCTTGCCATGTCCTGGGTGCTGATAATTTTCACAAAACAAATAAAGCATAGAAACCTGGAATAAACTTTAGAATGCTTTAAGAGAGAGAAAGAAAGAAAGAAAAAAACACATTGGTTTAATTATTTAGCTCTTCCAGGAAATTAGAAGCCACCCACAGACCCTGAGACAGTTTGAGGTGGTATATTTGTATTTCAGTTGATTTCCAGGGGTTGCCTTATTTTAAAAACAGGAACATAAAAATACATTTGCAAGACAAATTTTATTAAGAACTGTTTTTAAAGGTTCAAAAATCCTTAAACATTTATTATGCTTCTTAAATAAGTTGTAAATATTCCTTTTTGTTTGTGATCATGAAATTCACAGTGACACCTGCTGGTAACTATTAAGGGATTAAAAAAAATAATTTTTTTTTCTTGGTTCTGCTTACTGGTGGTCTCTATGAATCACCTTAAGGCTTTATCAGAATTTTCTGTTTTTTTTTTTAATTTTTTGTAGTTGTAGATGGACAGAATGCCTTTATTTTATTTGTTTATTTTTATGTGGTACTGAGGATCGAATCTAGTGCCTCATGTATGCTGGGCAAACACTCTTCCACTGAGCTATTTTCTATTTTTGACTCATCTACTTTTAACAATAATTTGCTAAAATCCTATCCCCTTATATTCCAGAGTTGTTATTCAACTGATCTATACTCCATCATTATATGAATATTGAATGCTTTCTAATAAAATATAATATTAACCAAGGTAGAAATAAAACACAAAGTTTGACATTTTTGCAATTTTAATACATTTTTGGAGTGATCTTAGGAATATAATTATGATTAAAAATCATTTATTTGATGTCTTCTTTTAGTCTTTAAAAGTTAAAATGGCAAGTGCCTATTATTAGGTGTTTCCCTGTAAAGTTTGTTAAGAATTCAGATTTCCCTATGAAGATAATAAATTTAGAATTTTCTAGTGAGAGGGAAAATTGAAACTATAAAACTAAATTCCATCTATAATGTTCCAAGTTAATTTCTGAAAGACTTAGGAGACTGTATTTTTTTTTTTTTTTAATGAAGGGATCTGCAAAGTTAGAAAAAGCTGAAATATTGCAAATGACAGTAGATCATTTGAAGATGCTTCAGGCAACAGGGGGTAAAGGTAAGTTGGTGGCTTTGTTTTTTATTCCCTTTCTACCTTTCTCTTTTCATCTTTCCCTCTAATATTGTAAGGAAGTCATAGTTGAACAGTTCTTTAACAAGCTGAGATAGGCGGCCCCAGATTAAAGCCATGGAAATCAATGCTAATGGCAGGATTGAACTCGTGGGAAAGAACTTCTGTAACAAAAGAAGCACTTGACCCTGGGCTTGTGTTTGCTTTCATAATACTGTGGGAGTAAAGCTTCATTCACAGCAGCCTGGTCAGAGATTTGTTTGGGATTTAAGAAGCGCACGCTGGAATCTGTACAGAAAGACAAAACAAACACACAAACATCCAAATATAAACAGGAGGTTAGAAGCAATCCTTCTTTCTTGTTCTTCTTCCTCTTCCTAATTCTTCCTTCTTCCTTTTTCTTTTTACTTCATTAAATCAAGGCCAGAACTCAAAATCGTGTAAGAATTGTAAAAGAAGTAACTAGAATTATTTTTATTATTGCTTTCAGAGTTTAGTTGGTCTTGGCTTTAAACTAAACAAAACATTTGAAGTGCAGTTAGGAAATGTCTATATTAGAAATTATGAACAAAGTTGACTCATTCTTGAGCAGACAGGAGTCTCCTCTGGGCCCAGTTCCCTAGAGACAGATTCTCTGTATTAGACAGTACCTTAGGAAGGAATTTTCAAGGGATCAGAGAAGGATCAGTAGTATCTCAGGCTAAAAATAGTAAAAGCTACAATATCATTCAGATTTCATTATCCCCTTCCCCAAATATCACTTGATGGATGACAGCTTTGATTTTGCTTGTTTGTAGCTTTTTCATTCTTTGGAAGCCTTTGTTATTCATCTCATCCAAGAGTATTATTCAATATATTTAACCACTGAATAGAGAGAGGGTACTATAAGGAGTTAAGTGTTAAACTAAATACTGGAGGCCTCCTGTGCTCAGCATTAACCTTCTACTAATAGCTATTATTTCTCAATCAGGGCAGAGCAAGTCATTGGACGGAAATGACATTTTACCAGTCGGAGAACTGGTAGATTATCTACCCTGCCTTTAACCATCTTTTACCTGTGTGAAGTACAGAGTGATTATTAAGTTCACACATTATAGCTTATCCAGGTTATACCTTCCCAAGAAGCCATCCCAAATGAATAAAGAGTAAGATTGGATACAAACATTTCTTGTAATATAAAGAAGAGAAGTGAGTTAAATCATAGAAAGCTAGTGATCCAGCCTAGCTTGGCCACTGCCTTGCCTTCGACTTCTACAGAAGTAATCTGCCGCTCTTTGAGGCTTCCGTTAGCAAGATGAGCTCCAAAGACCTCTCCAGCATCATGGATGTTTCCACATCTAAGGTCTCAGAACGTTGAGACTGATTGAGCTAGTGATGGTACAGAAGAAGTGTGATTGCTCTCCTTCCCTTGGCATTGAAATGTTATCAGGGTTTCAAATATTTGGCATGAGTTGTACTTCTAAAGAGTAATATTGTTCTTTGGCTTCATAATAAAAGCTGAGTTCCATCTTGGTTGCTATTCTTGGCTACCTGAACAGTCCTAAAATTCATCCCAGAATAGTTTATGAGCAGACATTTCCAAGTAGGCATCATGCAAGTCTCCTGACTGCTGGGTCATTAGAAAGGTCATAGAACAGGAGAATATGTGGGTCTTAAAGAAGGGGACTGGTAGTTTGGTCTTGCATAATTAAAGACTCCCAGCTATCTCAGAATGTCAGGGTAAAGAGCATGGACTCTAACTTGGTTGCCTCTTCCTGACTCCTGGCTTGACCGTTTGTTAGCTCTGTGACCTGGGATAAATTACTAACCCTTGCTTAACCCCAGTTTCATCATCTGTAAAATGAAGATGGTTGTTGTGAGTAAATGCACTTCAAGACTTAAAGTCCATAGCATCATGCTGGCACAGAGCATGGTTATGGACACATGTGCTATGTTGGCCCGAGATCCATTCACAAGAGACAGCTACTCATCATTGTTTCTCTCTTACATTCAACAACAGGATAGGAATTAAATAGTTTGTATTTTGTAGGATGCAACAAAAGACTCAGCCATATACAGCAATTTAGCTGGCAAACCACAAACGTCACTTACTTCATGACCACAAATAAAATTTCTCAGAAGCTCCTGGAGTTTCAAATCTGTTAGTTCATTCTTTATAGTCCATCTTGATAATGTGGTAGTTCTAGAGAAGATTTGGTAGGGTCACTTAAATTTCTAAATCTTTTTGGATTTCTAGACTCTAATCATTACCTTCCTCCTCCTCCTCATGGAAATCAAAAGACTGCAAAAGCCCTGCAGAGAACCCTCAGAACTGAAATGTGAAATCATTTCATGGAGACATTAGGAGCTTCTCCTACTAACCCCAGAGGCTTTGTTGATTAGCTGTGCCAAGGTCTTGGGATGATAGCTAGTTTTGCAGCCCATCTTCCACATTCCATGATATTCTCTTGTATCAGCATTGTGCTTTTGTTTCTGTTTTAATGGTGAATACATTTGCCCCAAACATCTTTTTTTTAAGACTTCCAGGTTTCTATTGGAATTCTAGCTTTACAATTTTGACTCTATGTGACTACTCTTTTCCAAAATACTTAGGTTCTAACTTAAGTTAGTCTAATTTTTAGTAGATGATAAACAGGTAATACTTTGAGCTGAAAAGCATAAAAAGATAATATAGTAAATGCCTTAGATGAAATTAATCTTATTTCTCATTCATGTATACACACATCCAAAATGTGAGTACAGTAAACTTCTAATTAGAAAATTACTTAAAAAGAAATTGCAAATTAGAAAGAATCAGAAAAGGATATATTTGGACAGACTGGTGATCAAAGAAGGTACCATTCCCCCCCCCCCMMAAAAAAATATATCTATTATCATGCCCTTAATTGGCACTATAACAGTTAGAAATCACTATTTCCTATAATGTATTATCTCTGGATAAAAGAGGACTTATAAAAGGCCCAACTTTAGCTATTTTAATGGTAATAACCTACAGATGTAGGGTGTTGGGGCTTATACACAGATACAATTAATACACATTTTTCTCTTGGGCAGATGCCACATAAAAGTCAAATAACCAACAAAGGAGATACATATTTGAACTTCAGAAAAACAAAGATTATACAATAGTAATCTCATTTTACTAGAATACCCTTGCATTATATGACAGAAAAATCAGATCATCAAATTAGCAACCAATTAAAAAAAAAACCTCATTTTGTTTTCATTCAATTCATACAAAATAATGACAAGATGTATTCACTTTGTTGATTAAAAAAAGTGTGAGTCAAAAAGTACTTATGAATTAGTGAAATTTTAGCACATATCTACAGAAAGTCCTCAAACTGCTAATTTGCATTTTACAGATGTTTCAGGTAAGCCCTGTAATTTCTAACACTTGGGTTAGAGGAGAGAAGCCTTTTCTATTTCCATGAAAAAGTTTGCTGGGGAATGTCATTATCTCACAGTGCTAAAAAAGAGACACCTTTTTTCTTTTTTTCTTTTTTTTTTTCCTGGAAGATTTGAAACAGGGACATTATTAATCCCCCCCCCTTTTCTGATGTTTTCTTGCAAGAACAACTGTGACACATTACCAGTGCTGTCACACATGCAAGTTTGAAAGCATACTTTCTTCTACAGAAATTAAAACTATAAATAACTGACAATATTTTCAGAAAAGATTATCGTTCTACTTAAATATCCTAAGGGCACAGTAGGACTCATGTAATCTCATTTTGCTCCTCCTTATCTTTCCATCTCCCCACCCCCACCCCACTCTCCTCAAACCGGTTTTTAGGCTACTTTGACGCCCATGCCCTTGCCATGGACTTCATGAGTATTGGATTCCGAGAGTGCCTGACAGAAGTGGCCAGATACCTAAGCTCTGTAGAAGGCCTGGACTCCTCAGATCCACTACGCGTGCGCCTCGTATCTCATCTCAGCACTTGCGCCTCCCAGCGGGAGGCAGCCGCAATGACATCCTCAATGGCCCATCACCATCACTCCCTTCATCCACATCACTGGGCAGCAGCCTTCCACCATCTTCCTGCGGCCTTGCTCCAACCCAACGGACTCCATGCCTCGGAGTCAACACCTTGTCGCCTCTCTACAACTTCAGAAGTGCCTCCTGCCCATGGCTCTGCCCTCCTCACTGCCACATTTGCCCATGCAGATTCTGCCCTTCGAATGCCATCAACCGGCAGCGTCGCCCCTTGTGTGCCACCTCTCTCCACCTCTCTCTTGTCCCTCTCAGCTACCGTCCATGCCGCGGCTGCAGCAGCCACTGCAGCTGCACACAGCTTCCCTCTGTCCTTCGCGGGAGCATTTCCCATGCTCCCCCCAAATGCAGCTGCAGCAGTGGCAGCAGCAACAGCAATCAGCCCACCCTTATCAGTGTCAGCCACGTCCAGTCCCCARCAGACAAGCAGCGGAACAAACAGTAAACCTTACCGACCCTGGGGGACAGAAGTTGGAGCTTTTTAAGTTATGCTTGAACTTCTTGCAATTGTAATTGAATGTTCTTCATTTCAGAGTCGGCTTAAAACCTCTGCACCATGAAGGTAGCCATACAGATACCTACAGATCCACAAAGGAACAATAAAGCTATTTGAGACACAAACCTCACGAGTGGAAATGTGGTATTATCTTTTTTTCTTTTTTTGTTTAAGGCAGCTTGGTAACCGAAACGACATCAGCAACTTTTGAAAACTCAACACTTGTTTCCATTAAAAGTTTCCTGAAAAATACATGGACTGTAACATTCAGTTACATGTGCATCTGCACAACCGAATTGGGGAAGAAAAATGTCATGATTGAATTCTCTGGAACCTAGATGGGGAAAAGAAATCCATCTTTCATAAGTGCCTGAGCTAAGGAAGGTTTTCTTCTGAACATGCAACATTGCACAAGAAGAGTATAGGCATTAGGTTAAGAAAGGATAGGGAACAGAAGTCTTGCATTAGGCTGCAGACAATGCCAGAATATTCTGTTGAAACCAACAGTTTTTATTGGTCAAAAAGATTGCTGAAAATTATTTTCAAGTTGAAAGACCTAGTTTGATCTTAGTTTGCTTTCTTTGTACAGACTTGCCAAGCAGTAACATTTAGCAGTGAATTGGTAGAAACAATTATTCCATCAGAACCCAGATTAACAAGCATTTCTGCTCTGCCTGCAAGCCCCCAGGCAATTTTTTTAGATGGTTCAAAATACGGTGCTTCTTTATATAAACCTTACATTTATATAGTGCATCTAGAAGCAATTGCCTACTGTGTGCCTACCAGAGGCCAATTCATGCCAACTTGGAAACCCTCCAGTTTGCAAGACTTTGGATTAATTTATTCAGTTTCATTTGGACTATTTTTATATATTTATCCTCTTCATTTTCTCCACATAACATGTAACATCTGATCTTGTCACCTTTTGGGGAGATATATTTCTGGAGGTGATGAGAAAAGGAGAGAACATTGGGAAGAGAAAAACCACAGTTTTAAAATATTCTTGCTCAAGTTAGTGATCACATTTGATCCCAAATCAAGATGAATGTATGCAATGGGATGTACATAAATTATTTTTGCCCATGCCTAGACTAGTACTACATAATGCTGTTTTGTTTTTTAGATTTTTGCTTAATGGCAAAATAATCTCTTAATACATTGAAATTGAGCACGTGAGATTTTTATGTTTGAAAGATTAAAAACACAGCATGTATTATTATGCACTTCATTTCTCTGCTGTGTGGAGAAAGCAATAAACATTATGAAAATGTTAAACATTATGCAAAAATACTTTTAAATATTTGTTTTAAAATTACTGTACCTAGTCTTTTACGCATTACTTTGTAACCTCTTTCTATGCAAAAGTCTACATTTCACTAATTAAATGAAGTTCTTTTTGACTATTTTTTATGTGGATGATTTGATTTTCAGATGGAAAGTTGATATGAATTTCAAGTGAGGCCTTCCTTTACATGGCTTTTCTATATATATATATATCTCTCTCTATATATATATATATTTCAGAATCATTTGGTATAATTCACAGCTCACTTGAAATAGCATTTATATGAGTTTATAAGTCAATTAAACATAGGCAGAGGAGACATTTGGAGGCAAGAAGTGTTTATTTTCCTTTGCTGTTTAGTATTAACCATAATTCTTGGTAAAGTGCAAATTCAATACTTCCAATGTGAGAATACCTCATATGGATAATGATCTAGAATGTGTAATGCATTTTGTAACTCAAAAATATTTGTAAAGTGTCTATAAACATCACCTAACTGCATAATAGGCATATGCATGCATCCAGAACATTTATTTTGTTGATATGGATCTGTTGTGGGCATTGTCCCCTCTGGTGAAGATATATAAAATAAGATCTTTATATCTAAAATAAGATATAAAGTTCCTGAAGCCATTGGACCAAAAAAAAAGAAAAGAAATAAAAAATTCTTCTTATGTATATCAATATGCTCAAAGTAAAAAGAGAGTTATTTTTCTGTCCATAARTGGTTAAAAAGAGGTAGTTGCAAATAATCTTATTCCTTCTGTCTATAACCCTGTGGATCTGATGCCTTCAGATAGTTGTGATGGAAGTAGGTAATTTGGGGCTATTTTTTTTTTTTTGATACCTAGGACCTCGTGCATGCTAGGCAAGCACTCTACCACTGAGCTACATTCCCAGCTCTGAAGTTTGTTTTTTAATGATTTATGAACAATAGTCATATTAAGTAATTTTTATTTTAAGATCTTAAAGTCAGTTCTGTGCTTGGTATAATGACAGCATTTAGAGAATAGTTTTTCCTTTTTTCAAATACAAACTGCTTTAAAGATCAAGAACTTTTTTAAAATTAGAAATATTTTAAGATAAATCCCCTTTCCTACTCCATCCCTCATTTCTTCTGTTACATTGTTTCCTCCCCAGTTATAAAATAAGGGTTATTATTTTTCAGTTTAATGGATTAAATGTTTGCAAACCTACTTGCCTCATAGTTGATAAGTCAGTGTTCCTTAAAATAATCTTTGTCAGTAATTTCAGTAGCTTCAAATTAATTGGTCCATGACAAGTGTTTCATGTCATTAGCTTTTAAATCACATTTCATTATTTATATTAACCAGATCATTGAGTTTACCATCTTTCATTCAAGTGTGCTGTGAAGAGGTGTACCACTTTTAAGTATGGTAATTTTCATGTATGTAACCAAAATTAAAAAGGRATTATGCCTTTTCAACTGGTTTCAGGGGAAAAGAAAGAACTTTTATGGTTTGATTTATTGGTGACCTTTATTTGTGTAAAAGTGCATCTCAAAGTTAATTCATAGGGATTTTAGTTAGATAAAAAGAAAAGGCAGCAGTTTGGGGAATTTGAGTTATCCTTCCTTTAGTAGCTTTATGTGTGCCCRACTAGAACACAGTTCTCTATTTCACATCAGTAAGTTAGACGGTATTTATTGAGTAACTGTTGTTTACCCAGCACTGCACTGTATGTGTCAGGTTTTGAGTAGTGTGTAGTCAGTGTTCCTTAAGATAATCTTTGAGCATATGAAAGTACAATCCTACATTTAACATTGACAGGTAGGTATTTTGCTGCCCTAGATATTTGCAGGGACACTGAAAAKAAGGAGGCACAGTTGAGAGGAAAAAAGGGGTTTCTGGGAATTGGTGGGGAAGGCTTTTTGTTCTTCTTGAGAACTTTTGCTAAAACAAATAAGATATTTCCTAGCATATTTGAAGAAATATGAGGGATTTAAAAAGTAATATTAACAACAAAAAATCCAAGTATTAGCTAAACCTATGGCTCTCATTTCCATGTGTGCAAAGGTATTAGCAATAATGAATGCTTTTGGATTATCTTGTGTATTTGACTTGTTCTTTCTGTTCATCATAAAGTTATAACAAAGTACAAGTAATCATAGAGCAATATGATGTTAGAATTCCATATTCTTGTATGTTTAAGACGTTATCAATTGCAARATATCCTACTGGCCTAAGATCAAGTTTTAAGGAAAAGAGCCACAACATAACTTTATACATTGATCATAAAATAGTCTAATTACCAGCATGTAAAAATCAAAAAATGCACCTTAGATTTGAAGCAATATATTAACATACTGATGATGAATGCAATTTTAGAAATCCATGGCTAGAGGTATTCATGGATTAAAATTTGGCTTGTTTAGCTTACCTTTAAAATATGTCATTAGGATAGGGTCCTGGTGAAGTTAAAGAATCTACATTGACTTTGTATGCTTAGTTATCTAAGGATAGTTTTGTTTGTTTGGTTTGTTTTAGTTTTTCAGGTTTYAGATGCCCAGTGGGACCACTTTTATTCTGAGTTTTACTGGAGTGGAGTTTGGCTTCCTCTTATAATTCTTTTAAGATCTAAGCAATGACTAGGGTGGTGAATAGTTTAGCAACTACAACAAAGCATTGCAGCAAACATGACCTCATAAACTGTGAATATAGCTGATATTCTTTGGAAAGATAAGTCTTTGAACTTCGATGGCAGATATTAAAAAGAAGAAAAGCCCCTGAGCTTACACAATCTGGTGCGAGGGGCCAGAGCATATGGGAAGTGGTTGTGTAGGCACCAAGGTCCCCTCACTTCTTACTTCAAAGGAAAAGAAAATAATAAGGCTGGTCAGATCCTCTGCTATAACTATAAGGAACCAGCACCCTCTGTAAGACATGGCTAAGACAGAAAATCAGCTKTGGTACTRCTACCAATATTATTTGGTGGTTTTCTATGTTAAGCCTCATGCTGAGTGTTTGAAATCTATTTCCTCATTTAAACATGATTTTCCTATGAAGTAGGTAATAATATACTTATTTGTATATTAGGAATTGGAAAACACGACGTTGATTTCTCCATATCCTATCTAACAGGTAGAACTATGACTGAACTTAGGCCTGTTTGACACTTCAGCCCGTACGTTTGGCCTGTAGGCTGTGGGTTTTGACCCAAGGTTTGGAACCCTAGGATTCCAACCTGTGTGCAATCCCTTTAGACCGATGGCAAGGGTGAATGTATCTGTAATATTAACATAAACACCAGCATCTCACCTTTTCAGTATGTGAAAGGATGGAAAAGTAAGAAATTCCACTTTATTCTATAATACAACACAACAGGAAGATTCTTTGGGCAGTTCTCTAGTTTAAACTCCAAGCAGGTTATACCTATCTTACCTTCATCAGTGAATTTACCAGAGCTCTGTAAAGTCTACCAGATAATATTCTACAGTCTCACTCAATGTGGTTGACAAAGGTGAGGCAAAATGTTGACGAACTAAGACAAAGCAGGAAGAAAAATGAGTTTGGTGGGGGGATTAGTCCCTACTCTTCCATTGAATATAAAAGAGKTTTTTTGTTGTTTTTGTTTTTAATGATGGATTATTCTGAATTTTAAACATTTCAGGTCTATCATGTCATCAAACAACATTCTTTGTTTGACCTATACTGAGCTGCCCAGTAACCTGCTCACTTTTAAGCAATTCTCATTATTAGGGTTTAAATTAACCTAAACTCTTTAGCCTATAATTAAAAATGTTTTCTATAGCCATTAAGAGAGTGTGTGTGTGTGTGTGTGTGTGTGTGTGTGTGTATTTTAATCTTAGTCCCAGAGACA